AAAAAAAAAAAAAAAAAAAAGAAAAAAAAGAAATGTGGCACTGAACCTACCCAATTTTGCAGGAAGGTTATTAAAGAACTGGCAGAATATTTCATTAATGAATGTTCTGTCTGAATGAGCTTTCTAATGTGAGCAACAGCTTTCACCACCCATCTTGAAGAAAAGGGATAATGTTGGGCTGGATTTGGTCTCTGGATTTTGTAGCCTGTTGCTGTTACATGAGCCATAAGAACACACACTATAAGCATAGCTCAGGGGACAAAAGGCCTCTACCATGGGTCCAGATTCTGGCCAAAATTTCCTTCCACATGGACCTTGTGGTTGGGCATGCCTTATGAAATTGCTAGTTGGAAAGATGCTGTGTGGCATCTCTGGCAAACCCCAAGAGCAGAACCACAACTCAGCCCTGTGAGTTTTGGAGTAAACCATATGAGCCTTTTACTGAAAATATTATTCATGACTAATCTGAAATTCAAACTTAAGTTGGCCTTCTGTATCTTTATTTCCTGAATCTGTTGACCCTATCTAAGGAATAAAACCACCCCTACCTCTCCTATCTGCTGTCGTATTTGAGAGCCAGTGCCCCCGCCGAGTGCAAGGTGAGCAGTGGAGGGAAAGTGTGGTGGTTGAAAAATGAAGTGAGAAGCTGGGAGTGTGGCTCAGTGGTACAGCAGGTGCTTACCTTGCACAAGGCCCCGGGCTCAGTCTCCAGCCTCGAAGGTGGGTGCGAGGGCAGTGTGGCGGTGAGCTCTGAGGAAATGTTATCATCAGATTGGCGTTCTGAGCAACACAGGGTGACACACCCAACCCCTGCTCCCAAACCACAGCTGCACAGCTGCCGTAGTGTCACAGCATCCTACGTACACAGATGATTTGTCTGCCTTTTGCACCAGCCACTGAAGATGACACTCCAGTTGTGGCCAGCTACATCCGGCTGTCAACCAATTTGTAAAAAAAATTCAAAGACACCAAGTGTAGGAGACATCCCTGCCCAGTACTAGCGGGCTATGAGTGGCACGTGCTTCTTCCCTTCCATAATTCGGCTGTATTGTTTTATATTAGGAGTCAGGCTGAAATGGGCACATCAGACGGCGGACTGGGCAAGTACAGCCCCTCCCTCAATGGCTGCCATGGAAACCTAGGCCCTGGTCTGTGAAGTGGCAGGATTCTGCTGATTTATGTGCAGCTGAGGTCAGCGTGACCCCAATTAAAACCCTTTCCCCTGAATTATGGCTTCTCACTGACCGGTGGGTTGCATATTAATTGCACCCAGTCCCAGTGCCAGTTTGTTCCATCCAAGCAAGATAAACAGTGCTGGCTCCCTAACTGCCTTGCCAGGCACTGTCACGCCAGGTGTTCAGCAGTATTTCACGAGATGCCTTCAAATCATACCCAGCTCCCTACCCCTTCCCACGATTGTATTCTGTAAATACTGGGTGCTTTAGGGGCCTTTGTCTATGCTGCCATCAGACCCAAGACTCAGCTTCTCCACTCTAAGTCTCGCCTCCGTCTGTTCGTGAATTTGCCTTGTGCTGTGATGGCTTCATAGGCCAGGACCCAAGGCAGAGATGCTGGTAATGGTTCCTTCCCTGCTCCCTACAACCAAGAGCGACAGAGTGATGTAATTTGCCCTTCTGTGAGTATTCCAAGATAGGGGTGTGTGTGTGTGTGTGTGTGTGTGTGCACGCATGCGAGTGCACCTGAGGTTTGGATTGAATGTGAGTTCCATATCTCTTCTGGAAATCTCCACACTGCCTGAGATTTCCCTTCAGGAAGAACACTGGCAAACACAACAAGGAAGCCCAGTTAGAATTTGATTTACGGCTGACACAAGTGAGTGTTTTGTTTTGTTATTTGTGTTTCTATGACATAGTCTCACCACGCTGGCCTTGAACCGGCAACCATTCTCCTGCATCAGCCTCCCGAGTGCTGGAATTACAAGTGTGCACCATCACACCCAGCCTGATACCAGTGAGCTCTTAATGGCCAGGTCCCCTGCGACCTTTGGTCCTTGTACTGCTGAACTTTGACGATTCCCTCCTATTAAAAACCCCTCTTTCAATGGATTCTGAAATAACGCTTTTTCCTCACTTCCTTTATACATTTATTAGCATTCATTTTCAAGACACTTTGCTGGCCTTTCTTCTTAGCATCCCTTTCAACATTCCCTAAATTCTGTTTCTAAGACTTACTCCTTGCCTCTTTATCCCTGTGCAGGTTCATCGCCTATGACTAGAATTATTAATAGCACATGAATGACTTTCAAATCTGATCCCTCTGTGGATTTGTTTGGTTTGGTTGGTTGGGTGGGTGGGTGGGTGGTTTGCAGTACTGGGGATGTCACCAGGGGGCGCTCTACCTCCAAGCTATCTCCACAGTCCTTTTAGAATTTGAGACAGTCTCATTAGAATGCCCAGGCTGCGCTTGAATTTCTGGTCCTCATGCCTCAGTCTCCTGAGCTGCCAGGATTACAGGCATGCACCGCAGCAACCGGCTCCAGCCACATATTCCTTACGCTTTGACACCTTTGTATTCAGCTGCCACCCGTACGTACCCACCTAAATATCTCACAAGTAACTCAAACATCTCTGGGGGGGGGTCTCTGTTTTGCTGCCCCAGAATTTGTTCCCTACTCTGTCACCCTGTTTTTGCTTTGCTTTAGCTTTGTTCTTCTAGTGCTGGTAATTAAACCCACGGTATCACAGGATTCTAGGCAATCGGCCTGCCACTGGGTTATATCTTCAGTCCTGTCTTAATTAGCTAATAGCCCCAGTTGCTTTAAAAAACAAACAAACAAACAAAAAATGTAGGTTTTCTCCTCTTTCCTTCACTTCCCACCTCCCATAATCTTCTGGTCATCAAGAACTGTTGATTCTACCACCTATATGTGTCTGGAATCCATCACGGCTCATCCAGCCTGATCAAGAATGTCCTGGCTCGGGCCCTTTGCACCTGTTTCGATCTCCCTATTCTTTAATCCATGTTCTCCACACCACTGTGTATCACCTTAGTAAAACCAAAGCTCATTGGGGTAGTTCTCTGTTCAAAATTCTCTAGTGAATCTCATCACCCACAACCTAAAGTGTAAATCCTCGACATAATGTCAAACATCTCTTCTCGCCCTGGTTCCTGTGGGTATTTCCAGCATACGGTCCTGCCTCTCACCCATGTTCTAAAGATATGCAACAGCCTGCTGCTCCATGTTCTCCCAAACACCGATGGTACGGCACATGCTACTCAGTCATACTGAAAATACAATGCTCTGTGGGATATAGTGGCAAAGGACCATAACCCTGGATACTCAGGAGGGTGAGACAGGAGGATCTCAAGAAGAGGCTAATCTGGGCTGGGATTTAGCTCAGTGTTAGGGCACTTGCCTACCATGCATGAAGCCCTGGATTTAGTCCTCAGTCCCGTCCCCCTCCCCCGATCCCGCCAAAAAAAGCAAAGCTATTCTGCCCCTTGCTACTTATTGAACTTTATATATCATTTGAGATTCAGCAGAAATGTTACCTTTCTTGAGAGTCAACTATGTGTAGTCACAAACTCTTCTGTTATGCTCCCAGAAAACTTGTTTCTATTTCTACCAATGAAATTGCAACTATGTATTTATATCTCTGGCCCACTCAAGCTGAGCTCCTTAACATGACTTCCATCTTTGTTTGGTTAACTCCTACCACTTGGTAATTCTTCTATGCATGTATTTTTTTGGTGGGGTACCGGGGATCGAACCCAGGACCTTGCACTTGCAAGGCAGGCAGTGGCACCGCTGAGCTAAATCTCCAGCCTGATATGCATGTATTTTTAAGAATCAGTGCAGTTATGTAGCAAATCTACACTGATGAACAGTTTTAGGAACTGTGGAAGCCAGTGTAGGACATGGCTATCAAGGAAAGAGGCAAAAAGACTCTACCCTATCCAGCACCCACACTCTCATCGTCCTTAGAACCACAATGTAAGGTGGACGGGGGATTTAGCTCAGTGGTTCTGCTGCCTGCCTCGCAAGCACAAGGTCCTGAGTTTGATCCCAGGTACCAAAAAAAGAACCACAATGTAAGGTTTCCTCCACAATAACACAACTGCCTCATCTTTGGCTGGGAAATGGGTAAACTCACAACTAAAGGGAGAAATGACAAAAGAGCTATGACCTCAGACTGTCACTTGTGGAGGGGAGGAGATCCCAAGTGAATGAATGCCTTTGTTCGCATCCTATTTCTTTCTAACCCTGAGCTACAAGATGTTCCTCAAAGACAGTATCCAGCCACCACACCAGTGGTAGATTCATGCACCAGACTTGAAAAACCAACAAACACATAATTGATGAATATTGTAGATGCTGATATTAAGATTCTTCTCCCTTATTAATATTACCTTTATAATATCTTCATGACCTCAACATAAGAAAATATTTCATAGAGAAAACATAAGAGAACTGACCATAAATGAAAATATTGATAACTTAGGCTCCACTCTCAATATATTTCTGATCGTATGATGCTATCAAGAGAGTAGAATCAAGAGAGTGAGAGCAAGCCTGACACATACCCCACACAGCACACACAAATGCACACAAATGCATACAAAACACACACATACATCTGCTCAGATGCACAGGCCACTGATCCCCTGAAATCTCATTTCTCCTGGTTGCAGCCGGTGACTCATTCCAGCACAGAAAGCGTTGGCTGCTTCCTCTTTATTAAAAACCCTAGATTGCACAGATCCAGCAACAAATTCCCCTATAAAAGAAGAGACCCAAAGAATTCAAAGGAGGAATTGGAGTCAGCTTCCTTTTGTTCAGCCCAAGGATGCTCTAAAGTGGAAGTCAGGCTACAGCCAAACTCTCCACGCCATGAGGCTGGAGCCCCGTATCTTTTTGGCCTGTGGTTGGTGTCTTCCAGCCCTCACCTTGGTCTTGAAGAAATCTCTCATGCGGAGCAAGAAGGCAAAAGCTGGTCCTTGTCTACCTGTGGCTTCTCAGAGAAAGACCTCAAAAGTCCAGCAGGGATAAGCGGTTATCAGAGGGAGCCGCCTGCCACTGTTTCCAATTACCACAGGCCTGTTTTCCTAACTCACCTGCTTCCATCCGCATGTCAAAGGCAAACAGTAATGGCTTTGATTTTTCCTATTGGAGATTTAACTTCTGTCACTTTATTATATGGAAAAATACCTTTTTACAGCAATGGCTTTTCTTCATAACAAAAATAAAATTTCCTTACCACTTTACTAATTGTTCACTGCTGTAAATATCAGCCTGAATCTTTTCATAACTAATACAAAAGGATGCACAGGGAAGTGGTTAGGAAGCATAGGTTTATATCCTGTAAAATGAAAACAATAGCAGCTCTAACTTCATAGTTTTCTAGTTTTCTAATTTTCAGTAGTATGTGTCTGCAGTACACAATGATTCCATTTATCATGGGGAGTTGGTACACATGCATAACTCATCTTGTCTTTTTGCCCATCTTCTCCCCCTCCCTGGCCTGCCTCAGTCTTTCCAGCTCTTGGTCACTTCCCATTTGCAGCTCTATTTGTATAATTCTTTCCCTTCATTTCTTTTTTTTTCATTCCTTTTCTCTCCTTTCCCTCCCTCCTCCCTCCAGTTCTTGTTCTTGAAAAAGATATCCCTACTTCTTACTTATCTGTCTCCTCTATTCTACATTGAATTTCATATAAGAGAAACTATGCAATAGATAGGGCTATTTGTCTAACTTGTTTCACTTAATATTATGCACTCAAGTTGATTACCTACAAATTTTTTCTTGCAATAATTAAAATGACGAAAAATTGTGTCAAATTCCTAGAAAAGAGTTTGGCATATTTTAAGTGCTCAGGAAATAATTGCAGTTCTTAATTGTCCTTATTGAGACCCATTATCCAAGAATGCAGGAAAGGATGCATGACGGGACTTAAGGAACAGACACACACTCTGGCCCATAGGTGAGTAATAAGATGCTGTTCTCTGAGTGTGGGAGACCACCCTGGTGATTATGCCCAGAGCAGGCTGTAAAGAGTTCATCCCACAACTGGCTTGTTTTAAGAAGTGAGTCCAAATGAAGCCTATGTGACTCTTGGGAGCATTGTGGATGACACACAGATTAGAAATTACCCCCACACACACATGCCAGTGGCCACAGCAGAGGCCAGAGAAATGTCCCATAAAGCTGGGAGGCTTGATAGGAGATAACACGGCAGCTGAGGTCAGAATGACATGTACCCAAATTCCAGTTCCAAAATTAATACCTTCTTAAATGGAAAGACCAAATTAATCATTAACCACAAACTACAACTGGTCTCTTCTGTTCCTAACACAAGAATGCTGCTGTGTCTCTTCTCTGACAAGCCTTGCCTGCCTCTGCAACTTATTCCTAGCAACCACACACAGTCCCCTCACTCCAATTTAATGGATGATTGTGTAACCATAAATATTGGGAATTCTGGCCTTTCAGGGTCTGCTGCTTGCTCAACTTTGACCATCCCAGTTTCTAGTTTTTCTCCTTGATTCTGTCTCTGAGTTTACTCTCTCGCCTTGCACCCTAGCACCGAGCAAGAGATCAGGATCCTCTGCAGGGATCTGTGATATCTGAGCACCACCAAAGTATTAGACCACAGGGACTGCAGGACCATGGTCAGTCCAGCATTTCCCTATTTCATATTTTGCTGGGAATTTCTTCAAGGACCCAAAGGAAAGGTTTTTGAGGAAGGTAGACATGCTGCCATATTGAACAAAAGAGGAATTCCTTCAAGCAAACGATGGCTTTTGAAAACAAGTCTTAAGAAGAAGTACAAATGACCAATAAATACATGAAGAAATAAAAATCACTGGCCATTAGATAAATGCAAAATGCAACTTAAGACAACAGTGAGATTCTATCTTACCCCCAAAAGAATGGCCATCATCAAAAAATGAAATAATAGCAAATGATGGCAATGCTGCAGGGAAAAAGGAATCCTTCTACTCTGCTGGTACAACCATTATAGAAATCAGTATGGAGATTCCTCACATAACTGGTGTTAGGAATTCCATTTGACTCACCTATTCCCTTCTCGGTATCTTCCTGAAAGACTTAAAGACATCATTAGATAGTGACATGTGCGTACTTATCTTTATTGCAGCACAATTTATAATAGCCTGATTTTGTTTTTTGTTTTATTTTTTTGATACCGGGGATTGAGCTCGGGTCCTTGCGCTTGCAAGGCAGGCCACTGAACCACTGAGCTAA